ACATTTATTATTTCTTTGTGTGGTGAACATTCAAAATACAAAGGGTGAAATAACCATATTCACCCTACAGTTCTGCAAAATACCAGAACTCATTTCTCCTACCTAGCTACAATTTTGTGTCTGTTAACCAACCTCTCTCTCTTCTCCCCGCTCCTTACCCTTCCCAGACTCTATTACCTACAGTTCTACTTTCTCCTTCCATGAGCTCAAACTATTTTTTAGCTCCCACGTATGAGTAAGAACATGTGGTATTTATCTTTCTGTGCCTGACTTATTTTGCTTATATTAATATAATGTCCTCCAGGCTCACCCATGTTGCTGCAAATGACAGAATTTTGTTCTTTCTAAATGGCTGAGTAGTATTTCACTGTGTATCTATACACCACATTTTCTTTATTCATTCTTCTGCAGATGGACACTTTGGTTGGGTTCATACATTGGCTATTGTGAATAGTGCTGCAATAAACATGAAGGTGCCGGGATCATTTTGATATACTGATTTCCTTTCCTTTGGATAAGTATCCAGTAGTATGAATACTAGATCGTATGATAGATCTATTTTCAGGTTTTTAAGGAACCTCCATACCGTTTTTCATAATGGCTATACTAATTTACATTCCCACCAACAGTGTATATAAGAGTTCCTTTTTCTCTGCATCCTTGCCAGCATTTGTTATTTTTTGCCTTTTTGATAATAGCCACTCTAACTGGGGTGAGATGATATCTCATTGTGGCTTTTTTTTTTTTTTTAAGACAGAGTCTCACTTTGTTGCCCAGGCTAGAGTGAGTGCCGTGGCGTCAGCCTAGCTCACAGCAACCTCAAACTCCTGGGCTCAAGCGATCCTTCTGCCTCAGCCTCCTGAGTAGCTGGGACTACAGGCATGCGCCACCATGCCCAGCTAATTTTTTCTATATGTATTAGTTGGCCAATTAATTTCTTTCTATTTAGTAGAGACGGGGTCTCGCTCTTGCTCAGGCTGGTTTCGAACTCCTGACCTTGAGCAATCCGCCCGCTTTGGCCTCCCAGAGTGCTAGGATTACAGGTGTGAGCCTCCATGCCTGGCCTCATTGTGGTTTTGATTTGCATTTCCCTGATGATTAGTGATGCTGAGAATTTTTTCATATATATTTGTTGGTCATTTGTATGTCTTCTTTCGAGATACCTCTAGTTGGATCCTCTTAATTCCAATTTGTTAGCACCTGCAAAGCCATTTCTAACATCCTTTCATAACTGTTTGTGGGTAGATGGATGGATGGATGGATGGATGGATAAACACCTTGGTGATTAAAAGAAAGTTGGGAAACTTCTGGTGTTCTTCTTGTGGGGAGTAGGGTGCTTTTATGTAGGCATAAAGTAGGAGGGAAAAAACTCTGAGATCCTCCTGTGTGTAGGGGATACTCTACTTTTCTGATGCTTTCTACCCATTTCTAGCCTGGGGCATTTCTTTCATGTGCTGTCGTTAACTGTGCCTTTCCCTGGCCCCATAATCCTACAAAATAGTGAGAAAAATACATAGAGGAGATGCAGTCCTTTATAAATAGATAGTGGGCTTCTGTAGTGTTTGCAGAGCTCTTCCTAGCTTACAAATCATTTTCATAGATGTGGTCATATTTAAACATCACCATACCACAATATGCTTGGTAGGCGTATTGTGCCAGTTTTGTGGTAAGCAAGATGAGGACCAAAATTAAGAGATTTACCAAGGTCATGCAAGAGATGAAGCTGAGGCCCAAGGGTCCTCTGGTAAGCTCATTGTTGTATCATTTTTCTGGGCTGCCTCTGGGTTAAAACCTTTATTCAGGTAAATTCTGAAATCTTTATAAAATAGGATTAAGGAAGGAGTATAGAATGAGTTTGTAGTGAAGCAATGAGTTTGTAGTGGAGTAATACAATACTAGACCTCCTTTTCTTTCTCTTATCTGGTAGCTGGGAATGAAGGAGCCTCTTGCCTTCTTGTGGAGAAATTGGTCTCATTAGGTCATCTCCATATTAACAGTAAAAATGGAGTCAATGTGTCAATCTCAGGCCCCTTAAAACAAGAGTTCTTTGTCTGGGTCTGGGCATAGAATTTAAGCAGTCCATGGGCTTGGATAAAGAAAACATTCTTTTTTTAAATTTCAAGAAACTCTAGAATTTCCTTAAATTATCAATTTAGACTCCAAATCAAATCATAACAATTATTAGCTGGTCCTATGAGTCTGTCATCAAGAGAAATGAAAGATATTTTCCTATTATATTATAATCATAGATATAGTCATCCGCTGCATTACAATGTTTTGGTCAATGATGGATTTCATATGCAGCAGTGGTCACTTAAGACTACAATACTGTGTATTTATTATATCTTTTTATGTTTAGATACGTTTAGATACACATATACTTACCATTGTGTTACAATTGCCTACACTATTCAGTACAGTAACATGCTGTCCAAGTTTATAGCCTAGGAGGAATAGGCTAGAGTCCATCTAGCCTGTGGGTGTAGTAGGGAATACCATCATAGGTTTGTGTAAGTACACTCTATGATGTTCACACAATGACAGAATTGCTTAATGACACATTTTTCAGAACACAGCCCATCGTTTAGCAATGCATGACTGTATCTTGAAAATACTCTGTATGTTCCTCACAACTTCAAAATATGGTAGCTACTAGACTTGCAGCTGGATCTTAATATTTAATGTGTTAATAAAGATGCATATTATTTTATCATGAAGTTTTAAAAGCCATTTTGATAATCTTATTTCCATGTAACTATTTCTCTATTTCAATTGCAATCTTATTTTATTTTATGCATTTATAGACTTTACTCTGAGAAGGGGTACCGATATCACCTGGCTGCCACATGGGTCTACGATACAAATAAAAGTTTACAAAACTTGCTCTGAAAAGGCATTCACTGAAAATCTTAAATTATTCCCTGAGAACAAAATTTTCAAAACATTTTTATTTAAGGAAGAGAGAAGTTGGAGCAACAATTCCTTAATCTCACTATCTCTTCCACCTATCTATTTGACAAAGAGCACATGTGCAATAAACATTCATAGAAATCGTGTCCCTTTTTATTTTTGGCAAAATGAGCAGGCTGCTGAAAACAAACTGAGGGGTTCATGGGACGCTTCCTGAAAGAAGACATGATTTAAGACAGAGTAAAGTTGCAGGGGAAGGACTATCTCCATGGAGGAATTAGCCACGGATAAAAATCTGACCTTGAAGAAGATATTCTGCATTGAGTCTGAAAACAACATTTGTCTTTATGTGAAAAAGCATGCTCTGAACTAACTTTCTGTGTCCTTCCAGCCATAGGTCATCCAATTATGCATGAGATAATTTCATAATTTGATTTTCCACTGACAGGCACTAAACCACATAAGGGAATATATTTATTTCAGTAACATCTGTTAATATGGGCTTTTTATCATAAAATAATTATATTACAATTCTTAATCTAGGTACAGAAGTGAGGGGGTCCAGGCATTTGCTAATATATAGGTTATTCCTATATATAAGGAGGAGTTCAGGACTTGTCTTATAAAACTCTCCCAACAGTCTAGTCTTTCACTTTGCTGCCAGAAATCATTTTGCTGGGTTTGCTATTTATGTATATTCACACTGGTTAGACACTTTAAGAAATAAGTCAGATGACTGTTAAGGGCAGTATGTAGAGCATAATGTTTAAAAACAGCAGAGGAATAGGTAGAAGGACTGTTTGCTTCCTTACAGCTTATATTTTTGCAATGTTAACCTCTGTGGCTCATGGAGCAGATCATGTTTTTCAGTCCCTGAGCGTTTTCCCTGACTGATCTATCTCCCTGGAATATTTTTCCTGTTCCCATTTACTCTCTGCAATTTAAGATCTGCTAAATCTTCAGCTTCTTGCAAGGATTTCGCCTATCCCCTCCTCTCGTTCCAGGTTGAGTTAACTGCCCCTCTGTCCTGCTAAAGTCCTGGATCCTCCTTCTAGGGTCCTGAACTGCTCTCACATCCCCCAACCCGTACCCTTCCATCCTCTACTCAACATCAAACTCTAACCTGTGATCATCTTGACACTGAAATTATGCCTTTGAGTTGCAGGCAGATATTAGGTCCTCAAGATATTCTGCAGAATTAATTGGATGAAAAATGAATGAGACCACTAAATAAAAGAAGACACATAAGATAGGCAACATGAAGACTGAGGGGTATGTAAAGAAGGGTGGGGAAGCCAGGCCCAACTAATGTCACTTCCGAGATGTTGATAGAAGCATGTGCATGTATGTGCACACGTGTGTGTGTGTGTGTGTGTGTGTGTGTGTGTGTGTGTTTGCATGGGAGTAATTATAGTAGAGGGGAGGTGAGTTTTATAACTGACTATATATAAACACTTCAAATGTAGCAAATATGAATGTTACTCTGACATTTTCTGGTGTATAAATGTTACATTCCTCTAAATCAGAAAAATTAGTTTTGTGACTGCAGAAAATGCAATCTTAGTCAAATTGGGGGGGGTTAGGGTTCATTAGAGCGGGTTAGGGTTCATTCGAGCACTCCCTTAGCATTTGGAGTGCCAGAAGCTTACAGACTCTTTGTCAGCTACTCCATCTCCTGTGACTCATCAGTTTTTCAAAGCACTGGACAGGCCCTATGTTCCAGCCAGACCAGAGATGCCCCTCAAGGTGACCCACTGCTCTGCCATACACAGGCCCCCGGAGACCTTCAGGACCTCCGTGCGTCCTGTGAGCTTGGAGGCAAGTGCTGAGCCTCTACAGCACCTCCTGAGATAATTCCTGCCAGGCTCTCGCACTTAAGGGGCCCCGGCCTTTCCAGAAACCTGCCTGATTCCCGTGTACATCCCCCACTCTTAGCCTGAGGAAAACCAATTTTTTTCCTAGACTATGCAGCTTCTGTGTCATAAACTCCAAAGTCCTAACCTCCATGCCCCTCCTTTGTGAACACAGTCCAGGAAAATTTTTGTACTAGGTGTCATGAATGGGAAAAGGAGCTAGAAATACCGGTTATTCCTTTCTTAATAATTTACCTTATTATACTGTTCTTCAGAAGCAACAGGAAATTTTATCCCCCTCTCTCTCAAATCCCCTCCTCAATCTATCAGCGGCCCTGAATGTTCCTGAAGTCCCAGCCACTGTTTCACTCTGCAGCAGGAGACGCCAAAGCAGTCTTGGCAGTTGTCCCAGTTTTCTTCATCCTGTTCATGATTCCAAAGAAAACACATTTCTCACTCAAAAACAAGCTGGAGGTTTCTGTTGAGACCTCAAATATTTTCCCAGAGTCCACCATAAAAATAATAATAAGGTTATGTTTTAATTTTAAGTGATTTATTCATGCAAGTTCTTGTGGCAGGACCCTGCTATAGTTTCGTTTATCGTACAGAGAAACTTAAGTCTTCTAAACAAAATATTTTCTAAAAAATAAAGCAGTCTTCCTTCTGCTGACCCAAATCTTGAGAGGAGTTAGCATTTATTTTAAAGCTCCAAACAAATATTTATAAACCCTGCTTACAATTTGTTTTGCAACTTGTATAATTTTGGCAATCATTACTCATACTAGTATCATCACTCAAGACTTAGCATTAATGTTTTCTTCAAAATATTTTACTTTGATAGTATAAATGTACCCTATATTGCCAAAGATGTATTGGACAAAGGTTGTCATCACCATACTGTGCTGAAATTTGTCTTCATTTTGGAAACAGCAGGAAATTCATGGGGGGAGATTGGGAAAGAAGAAATATTTTTAGTGATCTAATCCCATAGTATTTATGTCCTTTTACAAATAGTAGTAATTTGGTCCCACTTGTAACTAACAAACTAAAAATCTGCCCCATTCTATAGGTAGAACTTCATTTAAAAATAAATTTATATGAAACTATGAAAAAATATTTGAGACAAAAAACTTGTGAATATTTACATACTTCCCTTCACTGCCTGTTAAGAATAGTTCCACCAGCACCAACTTGGTTTATGAGGATTTGTGATGCAACAAAAGTAGAGACAGGACTAGAATGTGTTTGCTTTGCATTATAATAGGCCAAAATTTACTTCCGGAAGAGAGATGCTGAAGGTATTAGGAAAGGGGAGAGTCAAGGAAGTCTTGGACATAAAGATTCCATGGGGTTCAGAGTAGGAGGTTGAGGCGATAGAACCCTCAGGGCTTGCTGCAGAGCAGGCTGAGCTTCCACTGAAGAGCAGGGGAGACTGGACTTTCAGAAGTGCCGTCTTGGGCTGTGTAGGTATCTCTTTGACAGACTCTTAATAAGGAGATTTTAAGTGTTAGATTTTATTTATGTAACTTTTGAATAGATTATGCATTCACAAGGTTCACAAATTTTAAAGGCCTAATAAGGTTTATCAGAAAAAAGTCTAGCTAACACTCCAGCCCCCAGCCTCCCAGTTCTCTTCCCGGGAAGGCACTAATATTACCAGCTGCCTTTGTGTCTTCCGGAGCTATTTTATGCACATAAAAGCACGGGTATATACATACATAATGAGTGAGATGTGCACCATCTGAGGGATGGTCATGCTGGAGAATCAGACTTGTGGGGGGAGGGGGGAAAGGGCATTTATTGAAACCTTAAAATCTGTACCCCCATAATATGCCGAAAAAAAAAAAAGCACATAGACATTTACACATAGTTAGCACCCCCCTTCATTTTTTATACAAGTAGTAACCCACTACATAAATTCGTTTGCACCCTGCTTTATTCTCTTTACAATATCTGGCATTTTTTTGTTTTGTTAGACAAAAAGATTCTTTATTCTTTTTCTTTTCAGGTGAAGACTATTTCACTGTAGCAATGTACAAATTATTTTCAGCCAGTCTCCTCTTTTGTCTGCTTCCAATCATTTGCTATTATATACATGATGCTATGAATTCTTATTTTATTTTGTGTCATGAACCCCTTTGGCAGTCTGGTGAAGCTTATGGATTTCTTCTCACCATAATGTTTTTAAGTGGATATATCAAAATCCTCAGGATTAAAAGAAAACCAATTATACTGAAATATAGATATCAAAATATTCTTTAAATTTATTTAGATATAGATTATTTATTAATGAATTAAAAAACAAGATCTAGCAATGGGTTTCATAACTACTGTAATTTCAAAGTACAAATGAGCATGAATGCTATTTCAAAATATCTGTAACAATTGTAATATGACGTAAAATATCTGTGATTTTTATTTTTAACAAAGGCATAGGCTGATACTATTGTCATTTCCTGCCTGCTTTCATAATTAAAGGAAATGATACATTTCTGTTAGAGGTAAGAAATCCTGCCTCATATGTACATCATTTCCCAAACAGGTATATTTGTAGGGTAAATTCTTAGAAGTGTTTTTAAGTGTATTTGCAACTGCAAATACATCTGTAACTGAATGCAAATTGCCAAAGTGCCAGAAATACACAGTTATTCCACCAGCACTGAATGAGGGTATGTTAGCAAATATTTTAATCTTTGCCAATCCGAGTGGCGAAAGATAGTATTTTGGTGTAGTTTTATTTTGTATTTATCTTATTACAAGTAAATGTAAGCATCTTTTCATATATTAAGGTCATTTCTTTTCCTTGTGTTCATGCCCTTTGCTCTTGGTCCTGTTGGTTCCTTTGCAGGTTTGTCATGTGCTGCTGATGCCAGGGGACATCCGTCACAGATAGAGACTGCAATGTAAACAGCACCCCCTGGAGTTGGCAGCTTGGAGGGCCTGGTTGTTGGTCCCAGTAAAGATTTAAATTGCTATCTGTTATATTTTTCTCTCAGTCTTCTGTTTCTTTGAATAATCCAAATAGATTAAAATAGAAACTGGAATCCTGAGTGTACTAGTCTTCTTTGGTAGTGATACTGCCTAAAAGAAAGTCTAGAAGAATTCACAACAAACTGCCAACTGTAGTTATATCTGGTAGGGGAAGTGGCATGCGAAGAGTGTGAAAAAAATTTTCACTTTGATTTTTTTCGAACTATTTTTGTCTAATTTGCATGTAATAAATAAATTAATAAACATGCATGATAAAAATCCAAATAATACAAAGGGGTATAAAAAGAAGAATAAAAGAATCCCTTTTCCTACCTCCTCTGAAGATAAGAGTTTTTTAAAAAAGTTACTGGGCATTCCTTCTTGAATGTATGTTGTGATTTTGATTGAGTTTTTCTCACTAAAAAGAACTAGGGCTCCTTTAAGAAATGACTGATTACAGATCTAGGGCAGGAACTGTGCAAGACAAGCCCGGCACCTCTTGCTATACCAGATAGTAAGAAAGTTACCAAAGATGAGTCAAGCCATGATAAAAGGACCTAGGAAACAACTTGAAGAGGTTCCCACTGACGAAAAACAGAGCAACTTAAGCATCAATAAGGACAATAAGGCTGGGCATGGTGGCTCACGCTTGTGACCCCAGCACTTTGGGAGGCCAAGGGTGGAGAATTGCTTGAAGCCAAGAGTTCGAGATCAGCCTGGGCAACATGGCAAGACTTCATCTCTAAAAAATAAAAAGATTATCGAGTGTGGTGGCTCACACCTATAGTCCTAGCCACTCTGGAAGTTGAGGCAGGAGGATCCCTTGAGCTCAGGAGTTTGGGGTTACAGTGACCTATGACTGGGCCACTGCACTACAGCCTGGGCAACAGAGCAAGACCTGTCTCTAAAAATAAAAATAAAAATAAGGATAATAACTGCTAACTGCAATGGCCATAATGAAATACATTATGAGCTCATGAAGTTCATAATAATATTGAATGAAATGAAAATTAATTGGTCATACTGGGAAAATGGTGAGGAAACAACTCATTTTAAAAATTGGTAAATCAAGGGAATGAATCCAGCATTTATTTTAACTTTCTTATACACACTATGTCTCCAGGTCATCCAGTAATAGACAAGGAGAAGTTTCTCTTGATAAAAAGCAATCCAGCTAATAAATTAAGACAGAATAATAAAATGCACCATTCCTCATGAATCAAGGCATTGATCAGCAACAACCCTGAGCTTCACCAAAAGGAAAGCAATTTGGCTTAGGTGCTTCCTAAGGAGAGAACACGATGCCATGTAAAAAGTTGTTCTGAAAAAAACAAGAAAAAAGAAAAAAAGAACTTTGGATCTGATGAAGCTTCTGGGTCCAACCACCAATTTGCATGTTAAACAACACCACAGGTTTCGTCAACTGTGGGAAACTCTACAACTTTCTTCAAGAAAGAAACTGAAAGGGAAGGGGAAAAAAAGACATTGAAGGGAAATTTGAATGCCATATCGACCAATCATAATACACAGACCTTACTTGCATTGTGATTCAAACATACAAACCATATAAACAAAATAAAACAGATTTTATACTATTTACAAGACAACAGGATATTTGAACACTGAAAGGATAATTGAAGTATTGTTACTAATGCATAATATTTTATATAATGCTACAATGGTTATATTTTAGAGATATATACAGAAAAACTTACAGATGAAATAATATTATGTCTGGAATACGCTTCAAATAGTATGGGCGTAGTTGAGGTCTCAGTGCAGCAAATTGGTCCTGGATGATTATTGGAGCTGGGTGAGGGGATCTGTAGAGCTTTATATTATTCTAATTTTGTATATGCTTAACAATTTTTAGATAAACAAAAATCATTAAGGCCAATTTGTCCTAAATAAGGACATTGTGTCATAAGAGGGTCTGAGAAATGCCTCATTTCTGTTAGATCTTATTGAAACAGCGTTCTTAGATTCACATTCCTTATGGACCGGAAACGGTCCTGCCTGCCTGTCACAGGAGGGAGCAGCAATGTAGCCAGGCAGCCTAATGTTCTCTAGCTGGGTTGGTGGGTTTGGAGAAGGCATGTGCTGAAGATTGGCTTCTCTAGGAAACAGATTCTAGGTGGAGATGAGCTTGCAGGAGGTTTCTTAGGGAGAGTCCTTAAGATCATCACCTGTAAGGTGAGGGGGTGACAGAAGCAGCACCAGGCAGCAGGCAAAGGTGAACTGAGCTGCGGTTCCAACAGAGGTCTTGACCAATTGCACAGGGAGCTCTGGAGCTCAGGTGGCTCTTCTGAGTCATCTCGGTTAAGGCTAGGAGGCTGAGTGTTGTCGTCCTCCTCAGTCATGAGAAGTGGCTTCCCCTCAGGGAGGGGCCGCAGGCTGGGAGAGGCAGCTTTCATAAGGTGAGCACAGTCCCTGAGAAAGCCTCAGCTGTGGATGGCTAAGACTCCCAGCACACTCTCCGCAGATGGAGGAAGGAGGAGGGCCTCCGGCTGGAAGGAGATCTGGGCAGTGCCTATCCTGGATCCACTGATGACAACATGTCGTCACGCCAAATTTACTGCACACCAATCCAAGGATTATTGCCCCCAGGTGAATAACACGTAAGAATTAGTCACATAGGGCAAGTCTTGACGTCAAATTCCTGACAACACACCAAACCCATATAAAGTGATAAAGGTTATGTGTCATTCACACTCTATACCTATGTGACACTGGTAGTAAGTATCTTACATGTCAGTTGTCTCCAAGTTCGTGGATTTCCCAAAGTAGTAAAAGAGCGAACTGGATTATTTCCAATACAATTTTAAAGGTGACATCTAACATTAAAATTTTTTATTTTTAACTTTTATTTATTTATTTATTTTGAGACAGGGTCTCACTTTGTTGCCCAGGCTAGAGTGAGTGCTGTGGCATCAGCCTAGCTCACAGCAACCTCAAACTCCTGGGCTCAAGCAATCCTCTGCTTCAGCCTCTTGAGTAGATGGGACTATAGGCATGTGCCCCCATGTCTGGATAATTTTTCTATATATTTTTAGCTGTCCAATTAACTTCTTTCTATTTTTGGTAGAGACGGGGTCTTGCTCTTGCTCAGGCTGGTCTCGAACTCCTGAGCTCAAACAATCTACCTGCCTCAGCCTCCCAGAGTGCTAGGATTACAGGCGTGAGCTATCATGCCTGACCGCCAGCCAGTTCTTAGGAGGTAGCAAAGGGCTCAGCCAGGAACATGGCTTTGATATGCAAAGGAACCAGTTCAGAGTGTTACCTCCTCTGTCTGTCCTGTGTACACTCCACGAGAAAACATTTCTCTGCTTTAATCATCCCAGGGCCAGGTACCAGGCAACTAGGGGACACCTCTGTAGCTTAGAGCTTGTTGAAATTATTCAAACTAGCCAATCCTAAATAGTGCGCCCTGCTTGGCTTTTCCCATGGGAACTCCAGTAAAGGCTGTTTAAGCTTAAGCTCCCCTCACACTCCGGCTCCGCTGCCTCCTGACTGCCCTGGCACTGCCCCAGGCCCTGCAGAGCCTGCTGGGTCTCCTGTCTCTAGGACCTGTGAGTATGATGAGCTTTGTTTTCCTGAGCCTCTCCTGTGTCTCCTCCTGTGGCCTCACCAGGCCGACCATCTCATAAAAGAACATAGAACACTGGCACAAATATTCCAGAATCATCTCATTTTCCCCTTGTTTCAGCCCTGGAACCAACCATTTCTCCAAAGAGCTCTGGTTCCTTTTACTGGAGAATGATATTTAGAAACCGATATCTGGGTGCTAGATGTATTTTACCTATGATGGTATTAACGCATGTGGTAATACTTATTCTCATCAGAGCTGGCCCCCTAGGTCGGAGGCAACACGATGTGGTGGTGAAGAGGGTGGGCTCTGGATCCAGTGTGCCTGAATTAAAGTCCTGGCCACCATGGACAAGTCCTGAGGCCTTGTGAAAGTGACTTAAGCTCAAATAGTTTTACCACCTGCATGATGGTGGCTTCCTCAACAGGTCGCTGTGAGAATTTAGGCAGATGCCCATGGGGAAGTTCTTAGACTCGTGCCTGGTGTGCAGTGGTTGCTCAGTGCATACTTGCTGAATGAATGATCCTCATGGTGATCAGAGGCTCTGACTGACGAATAAAAATGAGAGGGAAACCCTGCTCCCATTCAGACAATAGATAAAAAGTGAATTTGCCAGAGATCTTAGTCCTTTTATGGGAGTATTTTCCTTTAAGAATTTTCTGCAATAACCTTTTTAATTGTCTTTAATGTGTTGTGGGAAACTAGAAGAAATCCCTGTAAAATGTCACATATGTGGCCAGGCACGGTGGCTCACGCCTGTAATCCTAGCACTCTGGGAGGCTGAGGTGGGCGGATTGCTCAAGATCAGGAGTTCGAAACCAGCTTAAGCAAGACCGAGACCCCATGTCTACTATAAATAGAAAGAAATTAATTGGCTAACTAATATATATAGAAAAAATTAGCCGGGCATGGTGGCACATGCCTGTAGTCCCAGCTACTTGGGAGGCTGAGGCAGGAGGTTTGCTTGAGCCCAGGAGTTTGAGGTTGCTGTGAGCTAGGCTGATGCCATGGCACTCACTCTAGCCTGGGCAACAAAGTTAGATTCTGTCCCCCCCCTCAATAAAAGTCTCACATATATGATTCTAGAGGGAGAAAATGCTTTCCATTTATTTAGATCCTTCTTCTTTCTTCATTTTTAAAAAGGAAAAGAAAAGAACTCATACACACCTGTTGTCAAACCTAGACGTGACTATGTGTCTGGGATTCTGATTGCTAAAAATATCAAGTCATCACAGAAGACACCAGGAGCATGGAGAGGACAGGAAGTCCGAGGAGGAGGAGGACTGCAATCATTCTTCTCATGAGGGGGAGTAAGAACTGCCAAACCTGTGTCTGTGAAAGCAGCTCCAAGGCAAGGTAGGGATTCCACATTCTGGGCTTGGTTTTACTAAAATCTTCCTGCCAACTACCCCAAATTCCTGATTCAATTACTCTTAGGGACAGCTATCCTGAAGGGTCTCACCAGAGAAGCTTATTTGGTTCCTATTGGGCAAGGAATAAATGCATGATACGTACTCCAGATAATTTTTATATTTCAGATTGGCATTTCAATCCCTTTGCAATTCTTGCTCAAGTTTTCCTCACCTTCTAGGTCTGAAAAAGTAATTTCCAAATCACTGTGAAGGCATTATGGAGACATCATGACCCTGTAGAACCTTTCAGTCGTTTGAAACAGGCCAGGCTAACGGTTTAACCTCAAAGTGGAATGGGTTTCCCATCAGGGTTCCCATAGTGCGCGGCTATGTTTTCATAACTTAACACAATGAAGGGAGTTGTCGCTAGATGATTCAGCTCATTAGAATCTCACCTCCCTTTCTGGGGAGGAAATCTGAGGCATGGTGTTTGTACTAGATGCTAGGGTAATGCCTACTCTGCCTTCAGTTCTCCTACATCAGTGCTAGGTAGACATTATGAACAGGGAGACTTATGGCAAGGAAGGTTCAACTGTCCACCTTGGCCAGAAGCAGGCCTGTAGCCAATCCAGATCTGTCATGTGTCCAGGTGTCTATCTGTCTCTCTGACTCTCTCTCTCTCTCTCATACACACACACACACACACACACACACACATACACATGCACACACAACCCAAGTCTCAACTCTCCACTGCTGTAAGGCTGTTCTTGGTAAAATCCCCTAGGGCAAAATCAACAGGAACCTGAGTTTTCAGCTCATTTAGTATCAGTGGGAAATTTGTCACGTTGGAGTTTGACAGCCGCAAAAACCGGTCTGACTGAGAGTGGAGAGGCCACGAGGTCTAGGTGGAGTATTAACTCACCGACTTGGAATGATTACTTGGAGAATGCTCACATTGTCTCTTATTTATATGCTTCAGTCTAACTCTCTGAGAGCACTTAAGTCATACAAAAGACCAAACAAAAGTAGAGTGGGAAACTTTTATTTTCAGAACTCAACCACAAAAAAACACTCATCTGTCACCAGGGATCCCTGGAAAGTGGTGTCTAAAAATCAGCTGCTGAGCCAATGGCTCTCATTTCTCATTCTTCTAGCATCTTCAACTCCCAACTGATGGGAGCCTCACTGGGCTGTACTTTAAATGGCATGAGAGCAGGAGAGGAGAGTTTCACCCCTAACCTTTCCACAAAAAGGCAAGCATATTTTTATATAAGTTCAAAAGGCCAGGTGGAGAAATCCTTTTACAAGTTAGACAAGGGTTAAGGGAATAAAAACAGGCTTTATTATTTTTCTCCTCTACTGAAGAGGAGATATTCTTTTTTTCTTTAAACTTTTAATTGTGCACCTCTCTTGTTTGTTGACAATTTTATTTTGCTACAATAAATCCAAGTCTGTTGAACACAAGCCATAACTTTAGTTCTGAGCTGTCCACCAGATCCATCTTGATGGCATGTCTTTTTATTTGAAAGACACCAGGTGAACTTTAAAGTCATTCATCTATTTAAAGTAGAACCCAAGTGATTAATGTCTTGAAATTAAGTTATTCAGAAGTGCCAAGGAAGTCCCTGAATCTGGGCAACAGTTTTCCTTGGAGAGGGCACTGAGAAGTAGTAAAAATCAGCCTCGAGTGTGAAGGAAATACTGTGGGCACCCGAGTCGGGGAGACCCGAGTGAAAGGAAGCCAGGCCTGGTCACTCACCAGCCTTGTGACTTTGGCCTGCCTACCTAACCCAAACCTCAGTTTCCTCACTGGTAAACAGCTTCAAATGGGGCAGCTGGAAAGTTGAGCTACAACCTGGGAGTGACTGGGACGTGTCCACTCCGTACACTATTTAACCATCCCCTCTCTTCCTCCATGCCTCCTTCCCTGAATGCACAGAAACTGGATAAATACCATTCTCCCCAAAGGCAGCTTGGATCAGGGGCAGGAAGCCAGCAGGAGAGAACACACTACTTTTCCCTGGGAGGACCTGATCTCCCGCAGATGGAGGAAGGAGTTGGGAGTTGGCTGCCTCTTCTTTCTACCTCACAAAGAGAACCACCTGGTTGACCACATTCAAAATGCGCAAACAAATGAATTCATCAGTTTAAATTGTTTAGGGTTTGTTCTTGTTTTCTTTCAATTGTTGGCTTTTCTTCTTGCCTAAAATCAACTTCTCTGGACCTCAGTAGCCTCATTTATAAAACTAGAAGTTTGGATCACCTGCACTAAAACCTGTCTGCACTAAGAGGAATAAAGTATATGGATAGGAAGAGTTTAAAAATGCATGATGTAGAGTGAGTAAGACATTCTGGATTTCCTGCAGAGTTTGGTTCTCCTTGTCCTATTTTTCCATATGCATCCCCCCCTCCGGAGTGCATAATCAATGGTCCTTTGGTTAAGGTAGCTGAACTGGCTTCTGTTACTTACAATTAAAAAGCTCCAATGAGCATGGTTACTCCATATGAATCACTACACTTGTCATGTTCACCTGAGTGAGAAACTAGTGCCTTCCCAACAAGGAAGGGGAAGTACTTGTGGAAAAATGCAGCTAGCAGGCAGGAGATCTGAGTTCAAATCCTCCTCTTAGAATCCCCAAACCACATAGAGTCATAGACTACTGATGTTAGTTCTTAAAGGTAACCCAGTTCCACTGCCAGCTGGCTAGATGACTTCAGGAAGAGTTTTTAACCTCTGGAGCTTAACTATAAAATGGCCATAATGATTCCACGAGGGGGTGGGAGTTGAACCATTCACTCTGTCGAGGCTTTTTTCAACATGAGAGCCTGCTGTGCTTATATGGCATTTGATATAAGCAAAACGAGTTTCCCCGGAAATTATTGTTGAAGCCACATTGTATACATCAAACAGGAGAGCTAGCCGTAAGAAACATATTCTAGTTGCTTATGTAAATAATGCGTAAAACTAAAAAATTTCAAATTTAAATATAGTGTCAATTCTGCCTGACTTTGAAGAAGACATTTTGACTTTGCTTAAAAGCAAATAACCCTAGAACTGAACATACTCAACTTCCCTATTCATTTGAACAAAATTGGCAAATATTTATTGATAGGCAACTGAATGCCTGACACTGTGCTAGCCGTGTGCCCTCAAAGAAGAAAATAGAAAGTCCCTGCTCTCGGGGACTTCAGTGGTGTTGAGGGGGCGAGGAGGAAACACATATGCGCATCTGGTCTGGTCAGTGCTGCCATGCGGGTGTGGGGTGTTCAAGGACAAGACGGGAGGCGGGCAGGGGTGTGACGAAAGGTATCATGCAAGAAGTAATGAGTTCAGCCCAGGGAGCAAGGCAGGGGCGGGGTGAACCGGGGCAGGAATGACAAGGCCTTTCTGGCAGTGGAACTGGCAGACCCAAAACGTGGTGCTGAGGACCAGGGAGGGGCCAGTGCTCTGGATCTTGCAGTTCTGTGGGCCAGAAAAACTGCTCCTTCCAAAGGCAGATTGAGCGTGATTCCATAAAAGATAAGGGAGGTAGCAGTGAGTTTTCACTGTAACTGTGGCAACTTCAATCTTTTAAAATTTGTCACGAAAGATAATAAAGGGATCCGACATATATTGGAGTGACAGAATCCCAGAAAAGTAAATACAATGAATCATAGATAAAGAGATATCTTGCCTGAGTGGGCTGATTAAAATAGCAAGCGACAATAAGTAACACATATTGCGTGTTGCTAAATGCCAGATGCTTCAAGCTTTACACATGCTGACTCACATCTGCAAATCATTACCCTCTGAGGTAGATTCTGCATTACTCCACCTCCGAGAGGCCTTCTCAGCAAAGTCTCCTCCTCCTACCTGTTCTCCTTTCTTCACTTATCACCATCTACTATGCTCTGTATTTTACATACTTATTATTATTTTTAAATTTGTCTCTCTTTTTCCTATAGAATGGACAATCCTTAAGGGCAGGGATTTTATTTGCGTTGTTTTATTTACTGCTGTATCCCCAGCACTTAAAAAACATAGTAGGAGCTCCATAAATATTGCTGAATGAATGAATGATAGGAACCGAGGTACGGAATCAAGCAGGCAGACAGTGGCAGGACCTGGAGCAGTGGTGTGAACTGCTAAGAGGGTTTTCTAGTGAGATCCTGGGCTCACAGAGAGGCATAATAGAATTGAAGGTTGGAGGGAGCATCAGCCTGGTTAAAAGAGGCTTAAAAACGCGTTGATTCACTTATTTTTTTCATTCAACTATTCAACACTGTTTACTGAGCACCTATATGCACCAGACTTTGCTCCAGGTGCAGGAGAGACAATGGTGGAGGCAGCAGAAAGGCTTCTGTACTCAGCGCGGAGAGCAGGGGAGATGACAAGAGAAAAGGAGACAAGTGAATACACAGAGTAATGCAGGGGAGGGTAAATTCTGTGATGATAATAGATCAGGGTAACATGACGGCGAGTAACTATGGGGGGCAGGTAGCATCACTAGGTAGGTCTTTGGAGAAGGCCTCTTTAAAAAGGTGATGCATGTTCAATTATCAGGACAAGGAAGAAAGACAGGGAGACAGTATACCATGTAATACCATTCACCTATAAGAAACAACAGTGATATAGCACCTGTTGTATTTTCCTGGATAGAGCTGGAACCATACTACTAAGTGAAGTATCCCAAGAAAGGAAAAATAAGCACCATATGTACACTCCAGCAAATTGGTTTCACTGATCAACACCTGAGTGGACATACAGGAATAACATTTATCTGGCATGGGGCGGGTGGGAGGGGGGAGGAAGGGATGGGTATATACAAACATAATCAGTGAGATGTGCATCATCTGGGGGATGGTCATGTTGAAGCTCTGACTCGAGGGGGGAGGGGAGGTAAGGGCAATATACGTAACCTTAACATTTGTAACCCCATAATATGCTGAAATAAAAAAAGAAAAAGAAAAGAAAGAAAGACAGGGCGACAGAGGTGGGGTTAAGGCGGGGACAGGGCTGGAGAGCAAACCGAAACCCAGAAAGTGTCTATGGAGATGGCCCCCAGGACAATCTCTCAGGCAAGGTCTGGCTAGGACCACAGCCCAGTGGTTAAGAAATTGTTCAGAAAAGCACAGCTGGTCTTAAACCAGGAGCCCAAACCAGAAAAGTCCCTGCTTCTGCAGGGGTTTAGGTGATCAGCTGAGGGGCAGAGACAGAGTGTGTTAATGAGAATGGTGGGGATGGGGTGGGCAAGGGACAGGGACTCCATATGACAAGAGAAATTTGTCAGTTCAAGCCTGCAGGTGCCTTACGCTGCCCCTTAAAATTACAGTATGCTCGCTCACAGTTTTTAAACCCACTGAGGGTCCTGTGAGAGTGGCTTCAGAGAACATCTAATATAGATGATGCTACTTCCCCAGGGCTGTGGACCAGGCCAGTGATCCCCAAACTTGAGGGAACAAAATTCTCATTTAGAATGTTTGTAAAAAATTGCAGATTACTGGGTCCCACCCCCAGATATTCCAATTCATTATGTTCAGGGTGGGACCCATTTGTGGTACGAGTGGTCCCCAGACAGGCCACATCTTGAGAAGTATGGAAGGATTCGCTAATGGGCTTCAGGGAGCCTGTGAACCCCCAGAAACAGAATGAAAAAATGTGTTTGTTTGCATATATGTACATTTCTTTTTCTGAAGAGAATGTCCCTATTATTACAAGGTTCTCAAAAACTTGCTAAGGACCACTGCTCTAGTCTTGTCCCCAGTTTTGGACCAGGAAACAGAGTCCTGGAGTGTAAGCTGATGCCCCTGAATTCACACAGCTGGAAAACAGTTAGGGTCTCAATCCAGAGCTTCTCTTTCCAAGCCCCTCACTCTCTTCTCCTTGCCATGCTGACTGCAGGGAAGGGGAAGAGAAGAAGAAAGCAGATTTAAGCACCTGGGGACAAAGTCATCAAAGGATCACTTTGCCCCATTTTGGCCTCAGGTAAGACAGATCAGTAGAGAGGAGGGTTAGGATGATGTTTCAGCAAAGAACCAAGCCATTCCCTGTATTGCCACCCCAGGTCCTGTCACCTGTGGAATCCTGTCCCCAAGTGGGACTTACAGTCAGGCAGAGGACACATGTGCCCTGCTGTTGAAGGCAGGGAGGTGACAGAGTGACGCTGTTCTGAGGGCCTGCCTGCCTACACCAGAGCAGGTGGGTGGTTCCAGGCTTCCCTACCTGCTTTGTTTTCCACTGACTTAGTTCCTCAGGCCATTCCAGATTGAGGCCTCATCCCTGTTAGGATGCTGGGCCACACTTCCTCTTGGGCTCTCCTCCCAGTTTCATTCCACGTCACTAACCTTAGCTGGCCTCCTCAAATTTGGTGTGTGCCCTGATATCTAGTTTGGAGCCAAATCCTTCAGACTCTGGCCTCAGCCTGAGCCTTCGGATTCATCAGCCTTGCTAATTTCCTCTTCTAATACCTCCCCACCTTGGCCTTTCCCCTCTTTTCTGTACTCTCTATCCTGTCTTGGTGACAGGATTCTTCTAGTCCTGGCGTCACCCGGCCACCCTGTCTTCCCCACCCCCATCCAGCTGGCTGGTGCAATCTGCTATTCAAGGGATAACTTTATTCAGTGTCCAACCCTGCCTTCTGCAAGGTAACCATGCTAGAATGTTAGTCTAATACCCTTTCTCTGCCTGTTCGAGGGGAGTCTGTGAAAGCTCGTCACAGGATCTGCCTGGGTAGACCCCCTGTTTACCTCTGTGTCCCGATCATTGGATTCTGACTGTCCTAGTCATTCCAAGTTCTCAAAAACTTGTTTCCCCACTCTGCTTGCCAATACCTTTCTCTTGTTTTTTTCTTTAACTCCTTTCCTTCCTTTCCTCCCTCCTTTCCTTCTTCCCTTTCTTCCTTCCTCCTTCCCTCCTTTCCTCATTCTCCTCTTCTTTCTCTTTCTCCTCCTCCTTTACCTCCTTCTCCTCTTCTTTCTTTTTCAATTTTTGCCCCATGCTTTAGGCCTTTCTTCACATTGCCTTGCCTGACAACAATACTCAGGAATAAAAAAGCACCTGAGGCCTTTGTGTTGACTGCTACCACCGTTGTTGTGGTGCAGACTTGTTTTGGAGGCAGGTGTCCAGGGAGGCTGAACAGTAGGATCCGTCCGCAGAGTTTGGTGTAGGCAGAGGGAAAAAGCCCGCTCTGTCATTTTCCCAACAGCCTTCTCAAATCCATAAGTAATGCCTCAGACATCTTGTTTTTAAAAGACAAGGAAATAAGCTCAGAGTTCAGGGCACTAGCCCCAGGTGACAAATTAAATCAGTGCAGAGGTAAAAATGAACAAAGCCCTTGGGCTGGAAGCTGTCCAGACAGCTACATGGAGCAGGGTCGCAGCCCACTGTCTTTCAAAGCCTCAACCAGAGCAGTCACACCGTGGACACTTGGCAGTTACTGGACAGTCTTTCCTGTCAACTTTCCACCCTGTGAAAAAGTTGCACAGTGACTGCCTTGTTGAGAATTAATCATTTTCTCTGTTCTCTATGACTGAGGCAGTTTCTCACGTCCCGCCCCTGGTTCGCTTGTCCCAAGTATTTCGTCTGAAGGGCGGGACATTCCCCCTACCTCCCTCCACCCCAACTGGAGCCTGCAGTCAGGACCAATGAAAGCAAAGTACCTCATCCGCCCAGTGACTAAGAACTCCCAGTATTTAAGAGGTAGCAGGCATGGGCTGGAAAATTGCTTTTGCTTTCTCCACAGACAGGCACACTCTCACCTGACTTGGGGAATCTGAGCTGAGGACAGAGAGAAGGGGGAGAAAACCTCACAGACTCCCTGCCACCACCATGTGCTACGGCAGATGTGCACGATGCATCGGACATTCTCTGGTGGGGCTTGCCATCCTTTGCATTGTAGCTAACATTTTGCTTTACTTTCCCAACGGGGAAACAAAGTACGCCTCTGAAAACCACCTCAGCCGCTTCGTGTGGTTCTTCTCTGGCATCGTAGGAGGGGGCTTGCTGGTAAGTCATTCAGAATTATTACAATCTTAAAAAAATTTTCTTCTGTTAACTAGATGTTTTTATTATTTATTTTCATAGAAGGTTTTCTGTAATTCGTATTTCCAAATCAAGTGACTTTTTTGTGCATTGTTTTGAAAGCAGATTATATAAAAATTGAAATAGATACAGTGCAGTGTATTAATTTTATTAGATGTTGTTTTACAAAATCTTCTTTCAACTAAAAGTGAACTACCTTTTTGCTAAACTCTCTTACTTAATATCTTGAAAACAGATATTAGCTTTTAAATCAGATTCGAGAGACTCTAGAGTTTCTTGTACTGGATCAGGTTAGTCATTTAACATTGCCCTGGGGAGCTGGGAGAGGTTGACTGGTTATCTGTCTAAATCAACAGTTTTGGATCCAAATTCTCTGCTGTTTATTTTTAGGTATCTGTGACAGGGAAAAATAATGAATTGTGAGTGCTTCGCTATTTAGAAAGCTTTCTCCTTTATGTAATGCTGGGGTGTGGTATCTAGGAAAAATCCTATACTTAGCAGCAGATCAGCAGTGTCTGGAGCTAGTAGTGGAATGTGTTGTTTTTTCCAACGTTTGTTTTTAATTGAAGTGAGGGAATTTGCCTGCAACCTGGGAGCTAAAAGTATTAGCTTCAAGCACAGCATGGAAAGAATGTGAACAAACTTGAGTTTGCTACTTTAAAATGCTGGTTTAAGAACTTTAAAGAGAAATGTTATGAAAATGTTAGCACCATACAAGATACATTTTTTTTTAGTCAAGTAAAAGATATGAAAACCTTTAAACCTAATGCATTAATTATAACATGGCAAATCTGCTTCAGATTCAAGCATTACTATCATGTTAACATAATCATTTGTCTTTAACATAACATTGCATTTAAGTTTCTTTTGCTCTCAGATTTAAAGTATTTCACTCTTAGCCTTATTTAAAGAGCTTTATTGTTAAGCTAAAACTATACATTCATATCTTCAAGGGAACGGTTCATATTTATTATATATAGCTTGCATCTCTTTCACTTACAAAAAAGTTTCAGTTGTTCTATTAAGACTTGTTGGTATCTTCTACATTCTACAAGGTGGAAAAAAAATCCAATTTAAAGGAAGAGGTTAATAGTTCCAAAACAGAGTTTGCATCTGGGACTGTGTTATGAACTCCTGCAGAACAAACACATATATAGGTTATTATTTTACTCCTCCTGTACTACATTCTTACTCTAAAGAATGCTTTGACACATTATATAAAAATAGGCAGATAGTACATTAAAGAAGGCTTACTCCTCAGAGTTTGAGATACTTGGTCAACCTAATCCAAGCCAGTCAACACCATCAGAAATAAATTTATTTTACCAAAAGATGCCTAACCCAACCCATACCAGCCCGGGGAAGGGCAGTGATCTTACTTTGCTTGTTTTCTAACCAGATGCTCCTGCCGGCGTTTGTGTTTATCGGGCTGGAAGAGGACGACTGCTGTGGCTGCTGCGGCCACGAAAACTGTGGCAAGCGATGCGCGGTAGGTCCTCTCGCTCCCGTGGTAAAAACGATTCCTAAGATGTAGCCATGCGCTCTGTGGCTCACTTCCTGTGTTTCTCCCTTCCCTAGATGCTTTCTTCTGTACTGGCCGCTCTCATCGGAATTGCAGGATCTGGCTACTGTGTCATTGTGGCAGCCCTGGGCTTAGCGGAAGGACCGAGATGCATAGATTCCCTTGGGCAGTGGAACTACACCTTTGCCAGCACCGAGGGGCAGTACGTAATGGTTCCCTACCTGGCCACACGTTCGTATGCACCACATGTGTAGAGTGGCAACTCCGTCAGACCAGACAGGCGCCCAGTTATCCATTCATGCACCCACATAACCAGGTTTATTCCCACTGACTCAGGCGCAGTTTAGGCAATAGATATCCAAAGACGGATGGCCATTCCCTGACCGGGACAAGTTCTAAGTGCTTTTGAATCGATTCCCTAATTCAGTCCTCATGATAACCCTATGAAGTGACTTCCACTGTTAATCCTATTTTATAGATGAGGAAATAAAGGCACAGAGAGATGAAGTAACTTATCCAAGGTCACATTGCTAGGGAGTGGCAGTTAGGATTTCAACCCAGGCAGTTGGGCCGAAGACTTTGTGCTCATGTAGTATATATGTTATACCAGAATGATTGGCTGATTAAATGTAATACATTTTACTATTTTATAAAAAAGTATTATAGAATCCTTATATAATAATGGAAACTATATGAATTTAACCAAATCCCAGGGCAAATTATACCACATTCCTGTACACACACACACACACACACACACACACACACACACACTCACATACAACATAAGAACTAAGTACAATGGCCCCTTTATTTGAAGTTATTAAACTATATAAGAAAGGCCTTATTCATGATTTTAACATCAGGATAATTGAAGAAGTTCCTTTTTTTATGTTGATATGTATTTCATATTAGTTATTGAGAAAAGAACAAAAACAGGAAAGCTGACAGAAACTTATGTACATGGTAAGGAATGAATGACATACTTCTTTGAGCAGGAGTTGATTCTGAGTTTATCATTTCCCTATTTGGCTTGCTAAAGTTGAATTTTGAAAAGTTTAGTTTTGAGATTCATGAGTAAAAATAATATTAATAATGAATTTGAATTTCCTTTGTATTACCAAGAGTATTTATCCCCATGAATTGTATAGCATATAGTGAAGTTACATGAATTTCATGAATATACCATATTCATAGGATCATGAACTTGAATCAGGCCTAGATTCAATCTCAACTCTACACTTACTCTCTGAGTACAGGAAAAAGTGAACTTACCTTTCTGCATCTCAGTTACTTCGCCTATAAAATAAAACTAATGGCAGTTGTCATGAGAATTAATGAGATAATATGTAAAATGTCCCCCACAGAGGCTGACACTTGTGAGCACTGCCACTCTTAGATGTTAATATTATCTACTAGCTTACAATGAACATAACTCAATGGCAGCCTTTGAAGGAAAATTGGTACTTGCAAGATTTTGAAATTTTGGTGTTCAAAATTATTATCAATTGTGATTCATCTTTGTTCAAAACATACTGAATGTACCATTAGAAAATGGCCTTTTGTGTATGTACAAACATACAAAATTATCGCACGGACTTAACTCTAGAAAAAGTCATGATTTGTGCAGCTGGAATGCAAGGAGGGGTGGAAGTATCACTAAATGTTTTTGATAGCTGTTTGATTGTTTGCCCCTCTCATTACCCATTCCAGCTTCTGCAAGAAACCTTTTTTTGGTTCTATACCATTTCTCATTTGAGTTCGTCCAAGAATTTCAATATGGAGAATAACTACTAAATAATCATCACAAGCCACTGGTTAGTTAGCCAATTGCCAAATGGAGCCGAAGAATTTTTTTATGTTGCGACCTGAAAATACAGATTTTTGTTTCAGTGACATGCAGAAAGACAGGGCCAGAAAAACTGATTGTTTTTTTGAAACTAACAAATTGAATCTCTGATTGGCTTCAATGAACCATTCCAAAGTTAGGTCTCTAATTTCTAGCTGCTTTGTTCTGCTGTGGCAGGAAAAAGTGATAAGGAAAGAATTATACCAGGCCTCTTTGTGGAATTAAGTCAATCCTTGATTTTCCCACATGATTAAATCCTATTTCATTAAGAATCCAAATGCTCTATGATGTAGGGAAGGCTGAAATTCTAGGAGAGTAATCAGAGGTGGACTTTTTCAGACTAGAACATCCAGGTATTTAGAAAATCTCCTGGATCATGTACATACAGTCAGATATGACCTCAGCATGGTTTGCTAACATTTCACAAGGTGGCTTTATG